CACCCCCTTGGAGACTAGCGTCCTCACTGGCACACCATCCGGTGTCTAGCTCTAATACCATTTGTAACAGTTTAAACTTATCGCTAGCAGATATTGTCATCTTTAGACATTCCTTACAAGGTCTTCCCCTGAATGTTATAAAACGCGTCTATCGTAGAGAGGTTTTCACAAAGGGTCTTGCCTTGTAATCGAAAAATACCATCGCTGAAAGCTATAGACCATTGGACAGTTATGAATGTTTCTTTGCTTCAAATTGCATCAGTTCACAGCAGTTCTAACCCCATATAACACAAGAATTCAAAATTTTCTTACAATGGTTAATCAAAACAGAACCGACAACTGCAGCAAACAGCCAAAAGATGCAACCATTTTTTCTTTTCTAAGCATTACAAATCTATAAAAAGCTAGCTTTCCTAGATTAACGATGACGAAGAACGAAAGCGAGTAGAACGAACCCGAAAGATCAATCATTGCAAGTGTAAGTAACTAGCCGTAACCGAAAACATTACCTATCACGAGGGCATGGAGCAGGAGATCTGTCGAGAACTCGCACGAGAGAAATGTCGTGACGGGTAACCTGGATGTCTCGTTCATGTCAACGCTTAAACTTCAAAACCATAACTTTTGCATGGTTGTTTAAAACCAATTTGAAATGCTGAAGTCCCTTAGCTTTCTAAGATGTCTCTCCATATCTTGTCTAGTTTTCGTCCACTCTTCCTTCTCTATCACCGTGGTCGGATCATCTCGTTCGCTCTATATTGCATCAAAAGTACAGGGGATTAAGAAAAAAACAGAGCAGAGAATGCTACAGAAATCAGGTAGATAAGAAACCGATACCGAATGGATAATCTTGAAAGAGTTCCCATTATCCCGAACGACAAGTAAGTCGCTTCTCCTGTCCCTAGCTCGTCCGCCAGGAACTGTGACCTACATGAGAGCAAAGGGAAGTATTTTAAGCTACTTTAACAGATAGGAAGCAGCCTGAAAACTACTCTTCAACCTCGAGTTTTGAACTTATCGTCGAAACGGTGCAGAACCCAAGAACAAAGAGTCTTACCAAGACTTTAGCCCTGGTGATTGACTTGGTTTTTGAATCGATCACATATATTTCCTCAAAGTCTAGGACGAATTCCGGGTCACCCAACCTTCGGTTTCTGAAGTGCTTCGTCAAGAATACCTACAAAAGAGAAACGAATTGCTCACACTAAAGTCCTTATATCCGTCACATTCCCATCCCTGACAGATAACATAAGGATAATCACGAGCATATAAACTTGACTTTCGTTCGTTACTGTAACCGTCTAAGCCCATTGCTAATAGATATTGTCCACTTTGGGCTTTCCCTTCAGAGCTTCCCTTCAAGGTTTTTAAAACGCGTCTGCTAGGGAGAGGTTTCCACACCCTTATAGAGAATGCTTCGTTCTCCCACGTCTGCTAGGGAGAGATTTCCACACCCTTATAGAGAATGCTTCGTTCTCCCTAGCAAACGCGTTTTCAAAACCTTGAAGGGAAGTCCGGAAGGGAAAGCCTAAAGAGGACAATATCTGTTAGCGGTGGGCTTGGGCTGTTACCGTTACTGAGTCTACGAGCAGCATTTCTCATGTCCTACCGACTACTTCTATTCTAATATTCTATCGGAAACCCCATACTCCGATTTACAAAGAAATGTCAACTAACTGCATTCCTATAATCTTCAATATACATAGCCCTGAGTCAATGAAATAATGAAGTATAGTAGAATTCCATTTGAAATTATCATCATTTTCTCTAGAAATCAAGTAAAGAGTGAACAAATACCGAAGCCCTGAGTGTACCCTTACCTTAAGAACCTCCTTCTCAGACTTGTATAATGGATCTCTAGGTGCATCAATGGGTGGTTCTGTGACATTGTAACATCCATAATCACTCTGAGCGCATCTAATATACTGCAGTTGTGAAGAAAAGCAAGACCATAAACAAATAAAATCAATCCTTATGCATCAAAATATCTTTTTGAAATCCTATTTTGGTACTTCGAACTATGATGTTTGTTCCATAAGACCAGACACTGGACAATGTGCCAACGTGGAGGCTGAATCTCGAAGGGAGGTAGACACGAGATGTGCCAACAAGGACACACGAGACGGCGTGCCAGCAAGGACACTGGGCCCTGAAGGGGAGTGGGTTGGGGGACCCATACCGATTGGAAAAGGGAACGAGTGTCAGCGAGGACACTGGGCTCTGAAAGGGGGTGGATTGTGAGATCCCACATCAGTTGGGGAAGAGAACGAAACATTCTTCATAAGGGTGTAGAAACCACTAGTAGACGCGTTTTAAAAACTTGAGGTGGAAACCACTAGCAGACGCGTTTTAAAAACTTGAGGGAAACCCTAGAAAGGAAAGCCCAAAGAGGACAATATCGCTAGCAGTGAGCTTGAGCCGTTACAAATGATACCAGAGCCAGACACCAGGCAATGTGCCAGCGTGGAGGCTGAGTCCTGAAGGGGGTGGACACGAGGCAGTGTGTCAACAAGGACACACGAGGCGAGGGGTGGACGCAAGGCGGTGTGCCAACAAGAACACTGAACCCCAAAGCGAGGCGAATTGGGGGGTCCCACATCGATTGGAGAAGAAAACGGGTGTCAACGAGGACGATGGTCCCTGAATGGGGTGGATTGTGAGATCCTACATCGGTTTGAGAGGAAAACGAAACATTCTTTATAAAGGGGTGGAAATCACTCCCTAGCAAACGCGTTTTAAAACCTTGAGGAAAATCCCAAAAGGGAAAGCACAAACAAGACAATATCCACCGGCGGTCGGCTCAAGCCGTTACATAAATGATTGTCAGTCAACAAGCTAAATGAACATCCCAAGTTTCTGATGAATAATTTGCTAATCAGTAATGAAACTGGTTCAAATAGTCTTCTAATCCAAAATTCAGGACCAAAATAGACAGTTTACATGTTCTTGATGTATATAAAACACAAAGAATGGTACCTTCTGAGGCATTGGAGCAAGAACTTTGGGGATAGCATAAACATCAGTGTCAGGAGGAGTAACATACATCTACAGCCACAATACACATCAACGAATAATTCTTTCAACTATCATATAAATCTGTGAAAGCAAGAATTGAAATGAACTACGCAAAACGGCCACTAACCTCTCGGAAATCGTACACATCATTGTCAGGATCCGGCGGCTTCCTAATGAAGAAATCACAGTGCAACAAACTAATCTTATGAAACTCCTCCTCGTTTATCCTATAATCCACGATCATCTCCGAATCCCATCCCTGCGTCGATACGAAGCTTTTGCTCTGCACAATCGAGATATTCTCGTCGCCGACGCCTTCAGAACCCGCAGCCGCAGCCGCAGCCGCAGCCGCGGCGGCTAGAGTATCGTACTCGATGTCGAAATCTTTCTTGTTATCGACTTCTTCCATTTCGTCGTCGTACATATCGTAGTCATCGGGGCCGCCACTATCTCCGTCGCCGTCATCGGAGAAGACGCGGAAAGGGTTTCTTCTAGGGACGAAGAGAGGGGATGCAGAGGGAGTAGATTTTCGGTAGAGCAAACTAGGGAGGTGGTGAAGAGAACTTGCGGCGGAAATGGAAGGAGGTCGCAGACGGTGGATTGTGGCCGGCGGCAACGGCGACGAGAGGAGAAAAACGGTGGAGTTCATGGCGGGATTGGAGTTTGTAGATGGATATTGTCGGATGGATAATTTTTTTTTAAAAGGTAGTAAAATAATATTATATATAATATTTATTAAAAAAAAAAACATAAAATCCTATTTAGTTTTCCGTGTTTTTTTTTTCTAAAAATAAAAAATAAAATTATTGTTCTTGCACTTTGATTTTTTTTTTTTTAATTTCTTGGAAAAAAAAAATAATTTTAAATAAAATACTAATTATTATTTTAAAAATCTGAGCTCAACCTTTAAAATTTTAAATCAGCTTAAACCTAATAAAATTAATTAAAATATTATATTCGAGGATCTCTGTAAAATCTGAGGACTCGATAACCTAACTAGCATTTTGAGTTGATTTTTTAATGACCGAATCTCGTTCAGGATGGATAAGGGTTTATCGTGCAAAGAACCAGGTCAATCCGATCCAACCCGATTAAGTAAAAAAAAGCTGTAGTGGGAGAGGTCAAGCCCAATTTCATGCCCCAAACATATTTTTTCCACGATCGTACACATACTCCCACCACTCGTTGCAGTGGCCTAGTACACAGTTCACTATACATGTACAATTAGTCATATCATTGCTCAGCTCCCTCCCATCGCTCATCACCTCGAGGCTTCAACATCCATGTTTAACACCGATGTCATTATCTCCCATTCTCTTCAAGCCTTCAGTTTTCACGGACTTTAGCATTGATTCTTCAACTCCTTTGTTTAAACTTCAATGTTATAGTAACAACTTGTCTTTCTTTTTCACCCCATTTATACAACTAAAAGTTAATTTTTTTAATAACTCGATAATTCAAGTAGAAAATAGAAGGCTGCGTTGAGTTACCAATCTAACAAACCTGAAATTTTGGATCGGTAAAAAAAACAAATATCTAAACTCAACCCAATCCGACTGTACCATGTACACCCCTACTTATATTTTCGACTATAAGATTAAAAATTTTAAATTTCGTTGTCACATGTCTTGCATTAAAAAAAGAAAAATCGTATGAATTTGACAATATTACCCTAATGGTAAATAATTATTTACCTTTTCATCTAAATTTATAATTTATCTAAATTAATAAAAATACTCTCAATATTTTTAAATTAATTTAAAGTATTAATGATTTTTTTAAAAATATATTTATTTATTTATTTTTAAATGCTAAAAGACATTATTTAAAAAAAATGGAGGTAAAATATAAAGATTTGGTATTTTTATTAATTTATTAAACAAATTATATTGAAATTGTTTTACAATAAAATCTACTGGTTGACTAGTCAACGAAGTATAAATACCGATGGATTGGCTACAGCGTCATCTAAGAAAACCCTTCCCGCCATTTACACTTCCCCATTTCCTTCGTTTGATTTCTCAATTCACAGTTCCACAGCGAGTTTCAGTGACAGTCCAAAATCCTTTCTCTCGTCGGAGTTCGATCGAGAGAGGAAGTAGGCGAGGCAACGGCCGAGATGTTGAAGCCGAAGCCGTTTGCCGGAGCCAATGTGTTCGTGTCCCGCAATCTTGTCGCTCCGGAGATATTCGACGCTCTTCACGACGCTTTGAAGCAGAATGGGGCTGAGGTTTTCCTCTGTTGTGATCCTGCTCGAAACGGCCCTAAAGATTATCATGTTATCTCCTCAGCCGATCACGTAGGAAGATTTCATGTTCAATTTATGACCTTATTTCGGATTGGCTATGTGTTTATTGGTCTGTTATTCTGTCTTTTGCAGGAAAAGTTTGAGGATCTTCGTGCGAAGGGATGCAATTTGTTAGGTATGGTTGTTGCCGGTTTGGTTAATTTATAGTTCTGACATTTTTTTGGAGTGCAATTTTCGAATTGGGAGTGAAAGTAGTAGGAAATTGAAGGTCTCGATTATTACCATTATAAATTTCTCAATGCACATACACAGTAGCCCAGTGTCCGTGTAATATACACTTCACTGTTGTCTTGCTTTTCGAATACGCGAACATAGTTGTTTGAAATTCTCATTTCAGTCGGACGCCTGGTACTTGGTGCTCATATCGCATTGCAATTTATTGTTAGAGATGGGTTGCTGACGAATTGAATTTCTGTTATTGGGAAGGTCCTCAGTGCGTGATGTCATGTGCAAAAGAGAACAGACCCCTTCCTCAGCAGGGTTTTACTTGCTGCCTTGCTATGGATGGTGTGAAAATTCTTGCATCTGGTTTTCAGGCAGATGAAAAGGTACGTTGCCTAATGTTCCATTTCCCCCTCTTTTGTACGGAAGTTTATTTCTAAATGATCACACAAAATTGCAGGTTGAGATAGGGAAGTTAGTTAATGCAATGGGAGGAGTATTGCAGACGAGAGCATCTGCAGATGTCAGCTTTGTCATCGCGAAGAATGCTTTGGCTGCAAAATACAAGGTTGTGTTGCTTGAATTATCGCATTGCAATTTATTGTTAGAGGATGGTTTAGGCGTGGGGAGTGGGGAGTGGGGTTGGAAAGGAAAGGATTTGTGATAGTTGAAACATCAATTTTGTTTCATATCGAAAGATAACTCCTTGAAATATTTGCACATCTGAAAAGATGATATTCATGATTATTTGAAACACTATTGTAATTTTTTACCAAGAATTCTAGCGATGATATGAGAAATACAAAAAATGTCATAGCCGTAACTAAACTACTAGAAGGAATCATGAGGAAAGGCAAAAAACCTTTTAACAATCATCATTATCTTAACACAAAGCAATTGTGAATATAAAGTTCAAAATCTTCTGCCTGCTACATAATTGGAGTCATCAAGTAGGGCATAACTAATGCTCAACGTCGTTCTTATTCAAAAGAAAAAGGGCAACAAAGAGCTACTGAATGAAATCACTTTTCTGAACTTGAAAGATTTATCCTATGTATCATAATGAAGTCAAGGATGCTACTTCACCGAACTTCTAAATTAATGTAGGAACACTCTTTTTCTTTGATTTAAGAAATTGGTTAATTTTTTTGTACTGATTGAATAAGGTGAGTTACTGGCTATACGGTAACAGTAGGTGATGGATGATTTAACTGACCAAAGCTTATGTATTTTTTAATCTGCATTCCCTGTTTCTTCTCTTGTTCTCTACCCTGAAATCCATGCTAGGTTATATTGAGATACCTTACACACTTGTTCTATTAAGTAAAGGAAGGTTTCAGTTTGATACATTTATAATTCAGTCTTTTATGATGCGTATCCTATATGTTAACTTTTGGAAGAAGCTGAATTTTTCTGGTTGATGGTAGAATAATTGTCTTGAACTGAAGGTGGTGGATCAGTTAGGCATGCTTGGACATTGGGTGGTTAGCATGATTTAATCTAATAGTTATATGTGCAATAGATATAATGATGGATTTTAATTTTATTCTACCCGAAATGTTATTGCAAAGATTTTGACAGACACTATTCTGTTATTATTTCTGTTTGCAGTGGGCACTTAACATTTCAAAGAAACCTATTGTCACAATTACTTGGTTACAGCAGTGCTGGATTGAACATCGTGTAGTGCCACAGGATGGATATCGAGTCCTTCCATTTTCTGGATTGAATATTTCGGTATCTAGAATTCCCGCAGGTTATGAGTTTTGCAATATTTTATTCCTTCTCAGAGAAAATTGTTTTCCTGTATTTTTTTAAAGAACATTTCTGGTCCTTCTGGGACATTCTTTAAAATTGTTTTTTCCAACATTTCTGGGTCTCAGATGAGCGCAAGGAGATCGAAAAGCTTATCTTGCAAAATGGTGGAAGATATTCTGCCGATCTTACAAGAAAGTGTACACATTTGATATGTAGTATATCCTTTTTGCAGTTTTTTCTTGACATCACTTTTGATTTTGCACTCTCTTTTTCATTTGAGTCGGTCAAATTTATATACTTAAAAATATCTTACTTCAGCATAAGTTACAGAATGAAGGGATATGGATATAATTAGTAATAAACACAATTAACTTTGAACAATATGTCGTTGGATCAGCACTCCGCAAAATAGTTGTACTGATATACGAGTATTGACTTGATCATTCATGATCCTTTCCCATCTGGTAGTAATGACCCATCCCAATGTCGGTCAACTCACTTATGACGATAACTATGCTTGTAATGATCTTTTATGGCTGTAGTTTCTTTTTCACATCTCTTAGAACAATCTTAAGAGAACGTGAGATTGACGTGAGTGGTGAATGAGATACTGGCTTATTCCAAGAACAAGATTGTTCACATTTTTGTATTTCTCTACAATCTCTCTAGTTTCTATTTCAAGTTGAGAGATGGGAGTGACTAACCACTCACGAACGTTTATTTGTATGGTTATTGTAAGCATGCTATTTGCATTGTCAATCCATTTCTAAGTGGTAGCAATAGCATGTTTACTTCCTGGCGTTAGATATTTTTGTTTGGATAAAAAGTTCTCCTTAATGGTTAAGTAAGCTCCTGAAGGTGACAAGTACAAGGTTGCACGAACATGGGGTCATATCAATATTGTTACTCGGAAATGGTTTGATCAGTCCATAGTTAGAAGAGGTAGTAATTCGGGTTGTATATTTGAAAACCCATAATGATTTTTGAATAGTTGACAGTTAGTTGTCAAACAATTTTGTTAATTTGCTAACTTATTTTCAATTCCATTTGTGCTCCTTTTAATTGATAGCATGTCTTAATGAGGAGTTGTACCCTGTTGGTAGCGTTTCTGCAACTTCAAATAAAATGGCAAGGGGTTGCTTGACTTCTCACAATAGCCAAGAAAAGGTTAATGGGAACGTGCAAGCTGCACCGTCCTCATTTATTGCTGATTCAAATTTCTCAGCTGTTTCTGGCCCTGGGTTTTCAGATATGGATTTAGAAGCTACTCTTTCACAGAGCACGTCTATGTTTTCAGATGCTTCTCATTTTATAAATGAGGTTGATGTTGAAGTGCCAGTTACAATGTCAAAGAACGAAGAAAACACTGAAAATTGCATTGCAAATGACTTCCAATCTGAAGACAACGACTTATATTTGTCAGCATGTAGAATAAAAGTTGTTGGGTTTGAAGCTTCTGAGATGCGGAAGATTGTGAATATGATTCTCAGAGGTGGAGGCTCCCGGTACATGCTGTTCAATGACAAGTTAACACACATAATTGTTGGAAATCCGTCAGAAATGTAATTTTACTTGTATGCTTTTTATTCTTGTGGCTCATGGTCACGTGTAATTGAAGCATAATTTTGTGAACTGTATTTCTTTAATTTATAAGCTTGGCTGTGCAGTGACCTTTTTAATTTCATTCGAATGATCTATCCTAACAATTTGAAATTGGTCTTCGTATGTCAAATTGCAGGGAGAAAAAAGAGGTTAGAGACATTGCAGCTTCAGGTGTTATCCATGTGGTTAGAACCACCTGGCTTGAGGATTGTGATCGTCAGAAGAAGGAGATCCCCGTTCTTGGCAGACACATGGCCTATGATGAACTTATCCCTAAAGGTTTGATATGTATGGCTCATATTCTCAGATATCTATCGTTTTGAATGGCAATCTTAAACCTTCCTTCATTCAGAATACTGCATGTTTGCATCCGGATGCATGACCAGAATTTGTTTGGAGATTCCTAGCCTGTTTGTCTTGTTCTATTTTTTCAAGTTGGTTACCTTTTTTTTTTCTTTCTGCAGCATCCTGTAAAACAAGCACTATTGTTATGGATCGGAATAAAGTTCCTAATGTTCATCCAATCATGCCATTGAATGGGTTAGAAGGTAATTTTCATGCTAAAATTGGAAAGACATCAATGATAGAGGAAAGAATTCAAGAAAAAAGTGAAGCAAATGTGGGTGGAGACAAGACCACAAAATTGTCTCAGAAAAGCCAACATTCTGTACCAAATGGTATGAACAAGAGTCAAGAAAAGTTGCGGCGTGATGTCATGGTTCCAAATGGGAAGTCATCATGTGTGTATAAGGGGAAAATATTTTGCTTTTCTAGTTCCTTTCCAGAAGATCGGGTATGTTGTGAAGATTCCTTCCTCTTATTATAAGCAACATTATCTAAAATGTTCAATATGCACCTTAGGATTTTGATACATTATTGTGGTAAATAGCATCCATTTTAGAAAAAAAAAAAACAGAGTAGGAGCCTTGTATTCAATATCAGATGAGTTGAGTAAAAAGTAGTTCATTAGTGCAGCTCTGAAAGCTATATCTAGTTCAACAGTTCCAGCTCCAACTCCATGATTTCAGCAAGTCAATGGAGTAGATAAAATTCTGAATCGAGTGTTCCTTTGACGTCATTCTGCTGCATATACTATTTTGCATCTCAATTCTCAAGTACTCTGCCATCTTGTTTAAAGAATGATTTCGAAAATTTTTTCATAATGCCAAATGTCATTTTGCACTTGAAAATAATACCATTTCCATTTACCATATTAAGATTATGCCTTAGAAAATTTTGTCCATTTTATTTGTGATATATATTCTGATGATCATATTTGAACTCTCTCCTACTAGAGAGCTGAAATTGTTGAATGGATAAATCAAGGGGGAGGGGAAGTGGTTGAGGATCATACGAAACAGAAAGTGCACTTCACAGTTGGATGTCATGGTGTGATACCAAGGAGTACAGATGTTCATACTACATACGTGTCAAGTCATTGGGTCCGATCATGTTTAGAGGTACATTTGATTGATTTATTTGTGATTTCTAGTTTATGGCTCTACTATTGGGCTTTGTTTCTGTTTGTCTTCTTGGACATAAAACTCGTTCAAACCTGTACAGCACATTTTAGTTTAGCCACTGCAAGTTTGGATTATTGCATGGGTTGAGTTAGGATTGGAACTTTGAATTTTAAGGGACATTGGCTTGATGTTAGGCCAGGCTTACATAATATAAAGGACAGGTACTATTAAATTGAAAAATGGAGATACAATAGGTTACATCATTGTTAATATTTTAATGTTTAGGGAAGGTGGTTACAATATCCCATTGTGGGTGGTCTATTGTAGAAAACATGCTTTGACACTGTCTTTTTCTTCACTTTTTCTACATTTAGAAATGTGAGTTGTTCCATCATTTTGCGAGAGGTTTCTTTATGGACAAAATTAATAGGAGTTTGACATTTGAAGAAGTCTTTCCATGACCTTCCCTTGAACTCCAAAAGGTTTTGACTACATCCCTGTGGGAACAAACAAATAGGGACTGCTATTGATGCTTCTCAAATATTTTTTTATTAAACTTTTCCCTTTTATTTATTGGAGGAATTGAAAAAGTATGGATGCTTTATTGATGCTTTATTGATGCTTCTGTTAAATGTGTTTGTTTAATTACAGCTTTGAAGCTAATTCTTAATTGATAGAGTTGAAGATGCTACTTATTTGATGAAATTTTATAATGCTGATGATTTAAATTTTTACTTTTTTTTTAATTGTTAACCTACTTATGTTAAAAATTATAAACTGATATTTGAAATGACTATTGAACATTCATCTTGTTTTTGTTTGTTTATACTGACTATTCAAATAAATCCGTCATGAAGGATGGATGTTTGTCGGATACCAATGAGCACATTCTCTATTCTCCACTTCCTTGTTGTGTTCCTTTGCCTGGGTTTGAAAGAATACGGTTCTGTGTTTCACAATATGAAGACAAAGATAGAGTCTTGTTAAGAAATCTGTGTTTTGTACTTGGGGCCAAGTTCGTGGAGAAGTTGACAAAGAAGGTAACCCATCTAATATGCAAGTTTTCCGATGGGCCAAAGTATGAGGCTGCTTGTAAATGGGGAATACATTCAGTTACAGCTGAATGGATCTATGAGTGTGTCAGACAGGTAGCTTCATTATTTCTGTTCCTCTTCATTATATATGTTCATGTTCATGCGTGTCCTGATAGAACTACATAATCCATTACGTTTTTCTCTTTTCTCTTAGATATGGAATGATAATTTTCTATTCAAAATTTTCAGAGTAAGCTTGTTTCTCTTGATTTGTATCGTCCAAAAGAAGTTACAGCTCAAGATAGAGAGGCAGGCTTATGTACTGTCAGTCAGTTTCCTACACAAGCTGGCCAAATGATAGCCGGTGAAGGTGAATCCCAGTTCCCTACCCATTCTGCTATCTTGAGAGATCAATCAGCTGGAACTAACAGTAGCTCTGTGGGAGAAGTTGAACAAATAAGTTTTACTAATAAAAAGCGGAAATTCCTTGACGAACCTATACAAAAACGTCCTATATTTGTTGGAAACAGTCTCACTCATTTTGACTGCAATTTGAACTCCACAAGAGAAACTACATCAAAATCTTCTGTAGTAACTTCACACGTTCCTGATGTTGCTGCCGCGATTGAGGACTTGTTGGAGCAGACGAGTAAGGTAAAATATGGATAGAACTTTAATTCCATTTTTTTTTTTTTTTTCAAATCCTTTTGTTCCATTTTCTTTTTGAAGATTCATGATCAGAAGTCACCTGGAAAGACTGGCTGCGACAAAAGTGTATCCTTCTTTTGGGATCGATGCTTATTATGTATGAACTTTTGATTTATTTTGCATTTAGTTTAATCCTTAATGGTACCAGATTTTCCCGCCCGACTGTTCCGTCATTGGTCAAGACCATTCAGAAGCTCCTCCAGTTGGTGGTTCATCTAACCAGTGGTTAAAAAGGTAAAATTTGACCCCTTCTTCTCGATCTTCTCGATCTTCTCTTGGAAAGACCATGCCGAATGGAAATTTTGTGGGACCATCCAACAAAGTCGTTATGAATTGTTTTTTTTTTTTTTTTTCCTTCACTGATGAATTGTTTCCTAGAAATATACAGGTTACACTTCGTTTCAAAATAGGTTATTTTGAGTAGTAATTTTAATTGCTCTCAAATCATCCCGAATGCTATCTTAAAACCAGCATACGGAAATAAATACCATTCTCGAATAGTAATTTTCTTTCTTATGGAAAAAACAGTTCTTGAAACAAAGGCAATAAGTTACTCTTTAAACTAGCAAAACAACCCCTGTATTTCTAAGGTGATTTTGGCACAACGAAAACTTGAGTGTGTAATTCCCCTGAAAATATTGATTAGAAGAGCATTTCACCTCCCTTTGTAACTAAGCTACTGAGAATTTTGACATGCATGTTTTTAGAGCTGAAAGAAAAGAAGACGTCAGCGATCCTACTACTGGAGATGGGTGTGCAGGGGCATATGATGGTTTTAGTGAAACGCAAACCGAATCTCAGGTGTGTGGGCATGTGTGTGTGTGTTTGTCATTTATAACTTGCTATCGTAGTGATGGATTTTTGAAAATTTTCACCTTTTCTGTTTACTTGATTTCAGGAAAACTAAATAAACTACAACTCACAAGATTTCATACTAATCATTGAAGTTGAAATTGATACTAGGAACGAACTCATTATTTGGTTATTAGTTCCATCCTGTTAACAGCTCAATACTTGTAGGTTGTGGGTTATGAAGAGGATTTGTCGGGAAGGCAAATGCTCATAGACAGAGTACGAACCCGGAGTAGCATGATTTGAAACTACGTCTGCCCTTACTCAAAGCTTTAAAGATGGTGGTAGGACTAGGGGCTGCGCTGTGAAGGTTTGATTCGAGCTTTTCCTTTTCCTTTTGAGTTTTATGTTATTCAAACATTATTTTCATTTAGGAGTTGTAGAAAATGTTTGGACCTTGATTGGTTGTATAGTAAAAAACAATGTGGCAAAAAAAAAAAAAAAAAAAAAAAATGAAAGAAGGGGAAAATTTAAGATGAGGGTTGCATGGGGCTTTATCCATTGTCTAATGAGTCAACGACATCCTTGCACTTGTAAGCTGGAAAATTGAGCTATATTAAGCCGATTTGCAAGTAACAGAAGATTTGTGGCTAGCTGATGGATGATTCTTATACTGCCCACTCACTACAAGGTAATCCCTCCTCATTTACTTGAATTTGGCATTTCCCAATTAGGATACGTGTGGGAAATTTTTATTGAGTTCTTTACTATAAATTCAAGTTTTTTAAACCCTTCACTATAAATTCAAGTCTCGATGCACAAGTAAAAGTGAAAGATGGAGAGCATGACTTTGATAATTTGATTTTTGTCTGTTTATCATTACTCAATATTCTCTTTTAGTCATTTGTGGTATAAATTTGATGAGAGGATTGATTGCATATACACTTTGGTCTCAAACTTTTAAAGACAACATTTGGAAGATTTTTATTTTTTTAAAATTTTTTTTTATGGGAATGACAAGTAAATGTCTCTAGGCTATTTAGATTGCATGCTTTATATGGACATAGATCATGAATATTTATTTGGAATCTAAATATAAGATTTAATTGTGCTTGCTGGACGTGCAAGAGAATTAAATGTCAAGCAAATAAGTTTAATTAACTCAATAATAAGCTATATTTTATGTGTTAAAAAATTAATCATAAAGGGAAGTGAACAAAATACATGGATTCGGGTCTACTGGTAGGTTTAAACATCTAATATTTTAAGTTGAGGTTATAATGAGGTATGCTGAAGTTGACAAGCATACAAATAACAAAAATTATTCAATCTTAAAATATAATAGTGAAAAGCAATACTAAATATTGGTCCTTCGGACACATTCCATACCTTACAACAATAAATGGAAAAACAACAGCAAATTACTAAAGCAAACACACACAACCCCCAAAGGGAGAGTGGTTCTTTTTTTCTTTTTGTGAGGGGGGAGGGGGTGTGGAAAGAAAAAGTTGCATTATTCAAATTTTGTCACTACTGCATGAAAACCCTTGAATGAAAGGCCATCAAGAGAGTGAAATGTAACAGTAACTCCCTTTGATTCATGCCCTCACACTGCCCTGACAGCTTGAAACCTTGGTTCCTTTGGAAGGAACTTCTGCTCAGCATAAACCGACATGTAGTCTCCAAACACAAACTTAGGATATCCTTCTTCCACCTCCTGGTTTGCTTTGTCCACCAACTGTGCTGCAGGAGCTATGGTAGCTTCCAGTGATGGGTTGTAAAACGAAGCTATTGATCTCCTGTTCCCATTTGGGGTGGCCAAAATCCGGTGCCAAACACTCTTGTATTTCCCATTGCTCAGGACCTCAATCTGATCACCTGTGTTAATGACTATGGAGTTGTGTAATGGCTGGACATCTATCCACTGCCCGTCTTTCAGGATTTGAAGGCCTCCCACCTGGTCATCTTGGAAGAGCAAGATGACACCGCCAGCATCGGTGTGGGCACGAAGGCCATTCACCAGCTCCGGGTGTGGGCATGGTGGGTAGTGGCTGACTTTGGTGCCAAAGAAGGCCTTTTCCAGCCCTTCGCCACCATTGAAGGCAGCCTTAATGTATCCTTCAGGTAAACCTAAGTTCTCATCCATCAATGCCATCACCTTTTCAGCTAGCTTCTTCAGCTCCGATCTGTATTCTGCCATGGTTTCCCTGCCACAATTGGATTCATAAACATAAATTCATTCCTGTTCTTGAGAAAAGATGATTTCATGGTATATTTTCACGGATTTTTCATGAAATAACAGAAAGTTTGTAGTGTAGATGTATATGCTTACTTGAATCCAGGAATGTTGGAGGGCCATTCGTTGTTATCATGGAGAAGGAAGACATCTTCCCAATCAAGATTTTCCAGCTTCTCACCGCTCTTGTTTTCCAGCAAATCATTCAGGAGCTTCACAGGTTTTGAACTCTTGAAACTTTCTTCTCTTTCCAGCTTGTAACACTCTGAACAAACCCTCTTTACCCTCTCTAGGAGCTCTTCAGGAATCCCATGGTTCACCAGCTGAAATTCAAGTAACACATTTATTCAATCAACCATCATAAAAACATTTAATTACTGCTCTTGCATGAAAACGTTACTCGAGTTAATTTTAGGATATCTAGAAAAGAGACCCCACTTTAGAAACAAAGAATGATTGCTCTTGCACTCGAACATTACTCGTGGAAATAGGATGTCTAGAAACACCACTCTCAAAAGTACTTTTCTTTTGACTATATTACGGGCATGTTTGGAAATGATTTTGAAATGGTTAAGCATTTAACCACTCAAAATCAATTTAATGAATGATTTTACACCTTTTAACTACAAAATCACTTCCAAACATGTTCTTCAAATCTACTTGAATAGCATAACTAACTAGTCGGGAAGTACCTGAAAGAATCCCCATTCTTCACAGCCATTAGCTATCTGATTCAATGTCTTGGCCCTTTCTTCTCCATCAAGCTTTGAGAAATCAATGACTGGAATTGCCATTAGAAGAGAGAGAGAGATGGCTTAAGGTAATGAAGTTGATCAGAGAGTAGTAGTTTATGCTGATGGGTTTAGAAAGGAAAGGGCTGCCCCTATTTATAAGTGTTTCCCTCCAACTTGATGTTAAAACCCTCTAGTAATTAACTCCCTTTTCTTTTAAAACAAGTCCCCCCCCCCCCCCCCCC